TTATTCTTTGTCTTCAAGTATGGCAGTGAATTTATGGATCAGTTAAAAAAATCACTTCCTGTGAAGTATTTTCAGGCTTTTTATTTTTAACAATCACATAAACCATTTTTTTTTCTGAGAAGAGGTTGCTTCATTTATGCCATTTACGGAGGAAAGCTTTTCCCAGTACCAATAAGCAGAAGGGATTTTTACATAACTTTAAGCAGGTAATTTAAAACTAGCTTTGAAATTAAAATTTACTCTACAACTGGTGTTACTGTTTTACGTAGTCCAAAGAACATATGAAGAAAGGACTACAACATTCAAGTGTTGACCATGAAATTACAAAAAAGAAAGCTTACTGCATAATTACATTTACAGTTATGTACATTTCTGTTGGCTTTGCCGCATTTTTTAACAGATTTCATCCCATAAGGTAACACAGAACTTTCGTCATTCACTCTTCACAATTTCTTTTGCTCTTCCAGGTGCAGGATGCATGGAAAGTTAATAACATTTTAAGAGATGGCTTTATTGTATGCTTTATAAACCTAAAAAATAAGAAAAGTTTACTCTTCTACTCATTACAGAAACTGCAGTCCATTCCAACTGCATTAATGCAATCCAAATATTTGGCATAAATGTAGGTGTTTTAACTCTGCTCTCTAGGGATGTAAATCATAAATATTCATACATGTAGCTACTCTCATAAGCGGGGTTTAGCTTTTCATTTCAAGTAACTCCACTGCAAAATTCTTTGCTGCTTCATTTCTTGCATTTTCTGAGCTGACAATTTTAACAAACATAAACTTACATTACAACCCACCAAATATGAAAGATATGTGGAACTCTACAAATTACTGTAAAACCAAAAATATTTGGGGGAGGGAGGGGAGACATCATCCAATTCACATGTTTCCTTACCAAAAAATGCAATTCTAGCAATAATTCTCTCATGTCTACCACTGTGGATTCTTTTATTAGACTATTCCTTCTTCTTATCCTCAAGTACATATAAATGTTGTGCTCGCATAAAGGCCTTCAGTTGCCTTTTATGCAAGATAAACAGACAAATTTCATTTCAGTCCTACCTGACATCTTCATGCACTCTACACTTATTTTCTTATTTGTAACAATGGCTCAATGCAATTCCTTCAAGCTTTATAACAACATTAAACTCAACTTTAAATGAGCTAATCTCTGAAAGACAGATACATAGGTCCCAGCTATCAGGAAGTATCACAGACTATTTAAAACTTTCAGAAGTTTTGTTCACTTGGTTTGACAGGGGTGGAGAGGGGGTGCTAAGTCTACAAAAATGTTCATTACTTCAGAGGTAAAATCTCCCCTGGAGCAGAGCAAGCTGCCAACTGGTGAATAAAACATTATTTTTCAATAGCTCTCAGGTAAACATATCTCTTATTAATTTTCCTTGTTACTTTACCCGATCAGCAACGTTTAGTTCCTATCTATTTTGCCAGTATCTACTAGAATAATAAAGGAAGGCTGGCAAAGTTAGCAAGACAACAAATGTGGGCTTTATACATAGTAACTTATAAATCCAAGGAACATTTCTATTAGTTTAATTATTTTCTAGTGTCTGAACAACATGTGCCATTGTCATGAACTCTAAGTACAGCTTGCTAGAAAACAACCCTGCTACATACAGTGGCTTCCCAGTAATAGAACCAACAGAAAATATGTTTGGAAGTTCTAACACAATGCTAGATGGCAATTGTAGTTGGGTATGGCAAACACTTTTTTAGTGTTTGTTGTGTTCCCCAGCTAGCCTACAACTGCTAAAATCCACCAGCCCCATCTCACTGAACCATCACTTTGGCTGATCATAAGAATCCCAGGCTGAGGCTAATCTCATGAGACACACTTTAGTTCAAGAGCCCAAAACCAAGAGGGAAGCACAAAGCCTTCTGGTAACCTTAAGAAGAATTCTTACTGAGGCATGGAAGTTGCACTTTGCACTTTTGGAGGGAGTTGGAGATTCTTCTATAGTATTTAAGGTTTTACATTTAACATAGATGGGGAAAAACTTGGTTTGTCAAAAAAAACATGCAGTTCTGTTGCAAAAAAGCTGCTTGCAAAATAAAAATGAGTATGAGTTTATTATGTGAGTATGCCTGCTTTGATGTATTACCAAATCTATCATAATCCCAGAGCTTAGAGTTAAATGTGAAGCAAAAGAGAAAGCAAGGAAAAACAGCTGTCTGAACATGCTCAAGAAATCTTGTATACCCACCTTATGCTTAACTCTCCTAAGCTAAAGTATACTACTAACACTTGAGATCCTATAGCCATTAGATCTTCCCTTTTTAAAACCTAAAACCTAAACGATTATATGTGAAATAAATGTGACCTAGATTAAAAAGAATTGCAGACACATGCACTCAAGAATAAAAATGTAAAAAGCCCACAAAATCCCAACAGTTAAGAAAATGTGGAAGTATACCTACTGAAAACACACATTTGAAAAATATAGACCTTCCTAATAAAGACAGCAAATCTCAGCTCCCATATGCCACTTAAGCAATATAATTTAAAAATAAAAAAAATAATTTATAAAATACATGTTGCATGTACAGGCTGAGGAATGAACAAAAAATTAAACTATTAAAACTAAGATACTTTTGCATTTGATGCAGTTATCTACTAAGCTATTAAATACTATAGTGCTGGTTTTGGCTAGGGCAGAGTTCATTTTCTTCACAGTAGCTGGTACGGGGCAGAGTTTTAGATTTGTGCTGAGCACAGGGCTGATAATATAGAGATGTTTTTGTTACTGCTGAACAGGACTTGCACAAAGCCAAGGCCTTTTCTGCTTCCATACTGCCACACAGGCAAGGAATGTGGGGGTGCTTGGAAGGCTGGGAGGAGACACAGCCAGGACAGGTGACCCCAACTGACCAGAGGGATATCCCAGACCACACGACATCATGGTCAGTAAATGAAGTGGAGGGAGGAAGGAGGAAGGCAGGGGGTATTTGGAGTGATGGTGTTAATATCCCCAACTTGTTACATGTGACGGGACCCTGCTCGCCTGAGGACGGCAGAACACCTGCCTGCCCATGGGAAGAAAGGAATCAATTCCTTGTTTTGCTTTGCTTGTGTGCATGGCTTTTGCTTTCCCTATTAAACTTTATCTCAACCCATGAGTTTTCCAATTTTTACTCTAAATTCTCTCCCCAGTGCTACTGGTGGGGGAGTGAGCAAGTGGCTGCATGGGGCTTGGCTGCTGGCTGGGGTTAAACCAGGACAACTGGATAGAGGGGAAGATGGCATTCCTCTTCCAAGAGAAATGACAACCATTAACAGCAGTCAAGGGAGTGAGGTCAGAGAAACTGCTGAGCTAGCCCTCCCCCTCAAGAGACAGAGACAAGAATCCCCAAGCTGAGCTTCAACAGAAGCGTTCAACAGCACCAAGGGGATTTGTTAACATTCCCCTGGAGCCTCAGGTACCTGCCACCTTACAATTCACTCCTGTGCAATAGGACTGCATTCCTTCTGCCCCAACAGTCACCAAACCTGATACTTCTTTACATCTGCTAATGCTGCACATCTGTTTATGCCATATCATGGGGTCATGCTGTCACTAAAGAGCCCAGAAACTGATATGAGAAAGTAGCAGTAAGATTATATTTACCAACAGGAAATAATAAAACAAATTTTGAAGCTGATGAAAGTCAAATTTGAAAATATCATAGATCAAGAAAGAAACAAAACCCTATAGCTTAAACATCCATTCCAGATAAGCCAGTTCTCTGATGGCATATCTAACTCCATTTACACAACTTTCAAGCAAATACAACTAGGGACTGATACAAGGCCAAGAGGGTGAGAGTGTGCATATGTAGTGTTTTCAGTTATCTAGATAAGATCCCCAAGGAGAAAATAAACAAAGAAAGAAATCAATCAAATCAGTAAGGTCATTCTAATTATGTATGTTACACCGAACAATTTTAAAGATTAAGGATCTTTTCTTCTCTGCCTTTTTCTCCACTTTCATGCAGTCTAAACTGTCAGTGCTTGTATCAAGATTTTCCAACTACCTTGTAAGCAATGCAGTTTGTATGTTTTCCCAGCATTACACCACAACAGTTGAGTGCACAAGCCAAGTAAGTGTTCCTACAAGCTCCAAGTACAATTAAGAGACCCCTTTAAAAAGCATGTCCCCCTCAACACAATGACATGTGAGACAATTTAAACAATTACTGTGGGATTAAAAAGCAGAAAATACAAGATTATCATATCAGATGCCAGGGAAATATGAAAGGTGAAAATAATCCAATTCTACACATAAAGCAAAACAAAAAAAATTATTTGGGGCTTCATACAGAATATGCCATAACAGATTAATTCCTTGTTAACATTTTTTTTTAGTATCTTCTCTGAGATTTGACAAGTTCCTGACTAAACCTGCATAGGTTCTCAACTGGGGAGAAAGTTTCACTGAAGCTCCAGTCACAAAAGTAAGATGAGACGACCAAGATAATCCTAATTCATCACAGCCAAGGCTCACCATCCCATATTCACCAAGTCTGGCATGGCCCTTCACTTCAAACCTGCACAGGTGTTGTCCTGGATATCGTGACTGTTATGAGAATATTGACTTTTAGTACACATCCTACCTTAGCCTCAGTCCTCTGAGGCCAAGCTTTGGCAAGATCATCCTAACATCCTGACTTCATTCAGATATCTTTCAGGAAACATTGACAGCACTTACTGCAGTCCAGTTTATTGGAATAGCCTGCATTTATCCTGATCACATCATACTGTTTGTATAGTATAACACCTGTGAAACTGAAGTCAATGTAAGATAGCTGGTCAGAAGCTGAAAGCTGTATCTTCAGACCAAGCAAGAAAATTTTGTAAAGGAACAAGAAAAAGATTGACTTTGTAAGTGTCTCACAACATCAAAAGCAACAGAAGGTAAATTTAGACAGCATCTACAAAACATTAGAGGAAGGCGGGGGAGGGAGACAATGAAATTATGGCTAACATAAACTTACTTGATTTTGCTGAAGACGATGTCAACATCTGTGGTTGTCACATTCTTCCCATCTATGATATTGCAGTCCTTACATAGCTTTGACCAGTTCTTCCCATGCATTTCTTTTCCCGTGGCTCTTGTATCACCATGCACGGCAAATTTTCTAAAGGCTTCTTCCAGAGCACTTAGTTCTCCTGCCCCAGCTCCCTCGTGGGAGTTTGTTGGTTTCAATGATTTGTCAGCCATTGTGCTACAAAGAAAAGGAGGGTAAACTCATTACATCATCTTGCACTAGATTACTTTCTGTCAATCTACATGCTAGAAGCCCATGTCACAACATATGAAGTCCATATGAAGAATAAATGGTGTATAAAGTTAGCACGAAGTCACTACCCTCCACCATCAAACATCAGTCTAAACAGAGAACTATGTAACTCTGTGCCCATCTGGGAAAAAAAAAATCTAGTACATTTGAAAAAAAAAAAAAAGCAGGGCAAGAAACTAGGGACACAAAACTAGTTTCACCATCATTACACCAGCCATCAACAGAACACTTAATATTTGCTCTTTTTTTTTTTTCTTAAATGGCAATCATCACAGTCACTCTGTTGATTTGAACAGAAGCACGCCCTTTACACTGTAGGCACTTGTATTTCTGAAGGAAAAAGAAACACCCCTTTATTTTCTGGACTTTAGCTTTTAATTTCTTTTTTACTGAAAAATTAAGTATTTTTGAAATACAGCAAAAATATTAATGCTAGAACCCTTATGCTACATTATGTAAGGGCTAACAAGTACAAGACAAGTCTCTCTTGTTATCCAGACCATTTATTTCTCAAGTTTATGCCCAAAGAACTGTAGCTGTGGAATTCATCTGGAATGAACACATCTGTGATGGAGACATACTGAGAAGCGATGTCATTACTGCAGATAAGAACTTTCAGATTACTCCAAGTACATATAGTGTAAGTTTGCCTTCTAAATGAAACCTTAAACTGAGCAATAGATTGCTATTTTCAGGTGTCTCCATAAAAAAAAAACCAAAACTCCCTGAAGTGTCAGAAGCATGTTACACGTTGCCTTCTACCACCCATGCATGGCAGAAGTAAGAGGCACTAAGAAGCCTCGGCACAGGGTACACTGTCTGCCTGCCCAAACAGCTGCACACAGACTGCTGCCAGAGCCACATCGGTGGTGCTGCTAAAATTTTTAACCCATAAAGAGATGGTTCAAGTATCAGAAATCTAGCAAATGCTAGATAAGGGCTGGAAAGTCCATCATACTTACCTGGCCTTTCTCCTGAAATCCCAGCTGTATATGGGATGTGATCAGCACATGCTGAGATTGGTAGGTTTATTCTAGTTAAGGTTTTATTTCTTCATCAGTAGGAAGTTCTTTTGGTTTCTTTACTGTAAATCAGTACAAATGCCTCAGCAAGGGAAAGGGTTCTAAAATTCTACCTCTTCCTATATTGTTTAAACTCTGTCTGTCACTCAAACAACTATGACATACCCTTTCCTGCACACTGGAAGAGAATTAACCATAGCTACTTGCTATGCAGCAGTTATTGTTAAGCATTTTGATTAGAAAGAATCTTTTAATTTAAAACATACTTAAAAGACCTTTGTCTTTCACACTTGAGGAAACATAGCTGGCCAAATCACTACTGCCTCTTTTGAAAACACTCATGTAAATGCTTAAATCCCTTGTTATATCTTAAGCCTGGGGATCCTCCTGTTTTGTTTACACAGTCAGAACAAGTTTTTGCCAATAAACTAAAATCTTAAATTAAAATTAATGACAGAAATTTACTAACTGTAGCCTGAGAATTGTGCATGTGCACCTATGAAATAAAAAGAGAAGCACAGAGGGGAAAAGAGTTTGAAAATGTCAAGTTAATTAAAAAGTAACCAATTCCTATTTCTATTTCCTTTGCATATTGCCTACTCTCCAAAGAGGAATTTTACCTCAAAAAACTTATCTGAAAGCATCCCAACACTGAAACTCCAAAACAAAAAGCATGCACAGTAAATTGCAAGCTACTACAAACATTATAGATGCATATATTTTTATCAAAATGTGTCTATATAAAATCTTCTGTTTCATCAGGCTACAGTCTTTTGCTACCAAAACAATAGTCAAGAACATAAGAAAAAAACAACAAAAAAAATACTGTTGACATAACATATACAAAAGAGTATTTCATTAAAAATCAGATCATGAAGATCTATTATGTACCTCTATATTCAAGGAAGCTTGACTTCCAAAAGCAGAAGTCCCTTCCAAGCTTGTACCATTTCAAATCAACTGGAGCTGGAATAGAGAACCAGCTAATACTAACTGGCTAGAGAAAGAGAGTACTGATCAGCAAAAAACAAAGTCTGTGTAGGATATTAAAAACCAAAGTTACCTTTGTATGCCAGAAACAGGACAGAAGAAGACAGAAATTTGCCATGGTAAAATATGTATGGTTTGCATCCATTTGTAATTTTATCTTGTGGCAAATAAACTTTCCAAGAAAATTTCAGAGGTAGCTCCTTCTTGCTCTTAAGAAGCTATACTCAGAGTGTCTTAAAAAGATACCATAGCACAGTTTACAGGCTATAAACAAGAAAACATCTGTGACCCTCTGTCCCATCTGAAATTGGAAAATATAATGAATACCTACATTTTTAAGTACCTCCTGAACAAAATCTTTCCTTAGCCAGTATCAGTGCCTTGCTGACCCTTAACTTAATGCTTTGTTGCCTAAAACCGTAACTCAACTTTGCACAGCACAGCAGAATCGCGTTTTACTGTCTTATACAGTCTTTAATATGATAGCTGTATCAACTGAAAGGATTTTTTACTTACTTTCAATAGCTAATAAATTGAAACTTTATAAACCTGATATAGGAAGAATGCTCGAAAGAACATATTTGGCAGTCAGAAAGATAGTTCCAGACTTATTTCTCTCACTCATTAATATATGTTCTTTGCACTGGGATGTTTTGAGTAGTTCTTGATCAGGCAGAGCAGACACACTACAGAAAAGGCTTTAGTTTTGAATGGTGAAATCTGGTATGCAAACCAGACTCATTTCAAATAAATCGTCGCCATCTAAAGCAGAGAGTCAAGTAGAGATTAAAACCAGGACTCTGCAGTAGTTGCCAAATATTATCATGGACACTCCTTGTTGATTCATAATTACAGTTTACTTGTTAAAATCCTATGTAATAGCATGAAATATATTAAAAAGAAGCTTCCTGGCTTTATGAAAAATTTTATAGTCTTAATTTAAGCTTTTCTTTCTTAGCACTACAAACAACACAGTGTGAAGAAACTACATTTATTAAGATACTATAATTAAAAGGTAAAGAACTGCACAACACAGGACATGGGGCCAGCTCCTTCATCTTTTTTTAGTGATTACAGATAAGGAAGGAGATCATGTAATGTTGAAGAAATGATCTCTCAAACAGAAATAAAGAATCATCTATCTGACAAAAATTCAAGATCAAATGCTGGTTTGAGTCTTCCTTACCCTTATTCCCTGGACAAAGGAATCCAAAGGTGCTTGGTAGATTCTGCTAGATCAGGAGTAATTACGGGCAGGGCCATAGCAAGAGGATAGGTGAAAGATGAAAGAAAGTGATTACTCTAGAATACCAAATCTAAAATTCAGTAAAACAAAATTAAGCCATTGTTCAAATGCATGAGCTGTGTAGATGCCAACTACAACCATTACAGCTAACCAAAGAAATGCTTTTCATCATCATCCAAAAAGTCTAATATGTACACAATTAGACAATACCAATTTCCAGAGCTAGGAGAAAGAAGGAAACTGGGACATGAAGAAACAGTTCTTGTCCCTTCCCTCACTCTGCAATAGACAAATAATACAGCACATTATACAGAGATTAAGCCAGGGATCAAACTAACTCACGTTAACTGATGTCAGCCACTGATTTCATGACTATCTCATGCAAAATAGACCAAAAGTGCAGATCTGTGGTCTCATCATGCACCTAACCCTTTACAAAAAGTTTTCTAATACCATCAAACTTCCTTTTAGCCAGACACTAGAATATATACTCATCTGCAGACAGACAGCTGAGAGACCTCCACTAGATAAAGTCACTTATTAACTTTTATGGATTCTTCCATAAAAGATGGGAGAAGAAGTAACTGTTTCTGTGAATTTCAGTTGTCAATTTCTAGAGCTGTGTGAATACCCAAAGCCTCAGTACTGACAAATGGCCAACTCTACTGAAGGATTTATATTCCTTTACACTCTTTCAGTTATCCACACCCTCGCCAGATGTCCAAAAATTGCAGGAATTCTGGTATAGCGTTGATTTAGATTTGTGGGAATTGCTCTTAGAAGTAATCCATCTCTCAGCAGCAAGGAAGACTTACTAAATCCCAGAGTATGTTTTCCAACAATTTCAAAAGCTTATGCAGCTCTTTGAATATGCATTTATCCTACTAAGTCATAATTCACCACAGCACCTTCACTGCCCCATCCCCGGCAACTAATTCATGGCTTATTTGCTCAGCAGAAAGCTCAGTATTTGTAACACAAGTTACCATTGCTGCCATGCCACAGATAGGGAACTCAAAGGAGAGGGATGAAGAAACATGTCCCTTCTGCTGCCAATATTCATATCATCATGAGGACCCTGGACCCATATTCTACACTACTTTAATTATTAAGATCACATAAAGCAGATACATGAATGTAATGACTACTCTAAGAACCAATGTTCACTGACTTGATAAAGAAAATAAATATACATTATCACTACTTGCAAATCCATTAAACCCCTTTAGGATCCCCACATCAAAAAACTGTTTTCTTAAAAAAAATATTAAAATATAGATAAATAAATAAATATACACACACATATATCACAGAATCACTAGGTTGGAGGAGACCTTCAAGATCAGAGAGTCCAACCCATGCTCTAACACCTCAAATAAACCATGGAACCGAGTGCCACATCCAGTCTTTTTTTAAACACATCCAGGGATGGTGACTCCACCACCATTCCACCACTCCACAGATCATTCCAGTATTATACCATTATTTTCGAGAAAAACGTTTTCCTAATATCTGACATATATTTCCCTTGGCACACCTTAAAGCTGATATACATATCAGCAGGATACAAAAATCTGAATGCCTATTTTTTTGGGTTCTACCATGTACCTTTTCATCTGCTTTGTCTAGCTCACCTTTAATTTCATTAAAGCTTAGCCTTCATTTGCAGCAATTTTTAAACAGTGTTAAAAAACAGTTTTAATGGAAGTCCTCTCACAACATCTACTGCCATGGAAACAAATATGAGTGTAACTGTCTAAGACAGAACAACAGACTAGACTACTACAGCATTATTACAGCCTCAGATACATTCATGTTAATGCAAAAGGCAGTGTATTTTAAAACTGTCCATTCCTTAGAATACTTATCAACCAAGAATTTGATAAAATTAGGTCAAAAGTCAAGTTGTGAACTAAAGAAAACTTCCAATTCACACTGTTTAACAGCAGAATCATTCAAGAATCAAGCAGACCTCTCAGATTGCTAAGATTGATGAATTTACAGAATTCAACAGCACAATGGCACAGCTGCAATGAATAATAAACTATTAGTGTCTCCTCCTGCCTGTAACACACCCCTTTGCACAGGCCAGGCTTCTTTCTCAGGTGTAATACCCACCTCCAGTGCAACCCACAACACCACAACCCAAGACCCCAAAGTTATGTTTACACTGAGCATCAAGGCCATCATCTAGCTAACAACCCAAGTCTGCAGTGTAAATTCCTCAGGCTCCTACAACCTAAAATGCACTGTCTCTTCAGGGTCTCAACCTTAGCCCTGATACCTCCCTAATTTCTTAACTCTTTCTACCATACACCCCAGACAACTAGTTTTATATGTTCAGTGTTATCTGATTTTACCTTCCAATCTCCTGCTCATTTTTCCAGCCCACCAAGTGTTGGTAAGCATGCAGGTGCTTAGGACACAATTTTTATCAGAATCTGTTACTGCACTGTTGGTAAAACTCATCCAATGCACCACAAATAGTTGCCATCCAAAATTTCCTAAAGACCTTCTGGCAATCCAAGCAAAAAAAAAAAAAAAAAGCAGCTTTTCAATAAGCACAGGAGGAGTTATTTTTATGAGTTAACTGAATAATGAATTATGAAACTGTGCAAGGCATTTGACTGTGTCTGACTGCATCTAGTTTATTTTCGTACTTGATCCATCTTTCCCTTGTTATAAAAACTTTACAAAATTGCAATGGAAGGGAATTCTCATTTATTTTCTCTCTGTAATTATTTATGCCAAATAAAAACTGCAGAGACAAAGTACAGCAAATGGAATCTTTTTCCCACATTTTTGCATAAACATTCAAGCTTAGGGAAGGATAAACAGATGGAGAAATGCGACAGCCTCCTAATAAAAAGCAATGCTTTAGACTGTTCTTAAAGCTTCCTTCACAACTACCTGTAGGAACCAGAGTTAAGGCATTTCTCTTCAGAGATCTGTTCTGGTTTTATTTCTCAACATGTGATGCTGAAGTGAATGGCAGCCACCCATTATCCCTAGCATACAACATAGAAGGCAAATGAGCAGAGACCACTGCAAAACAAGCAAAGCTAACAACTCTATCTACAGTTAAACCCATCTTTACCTAAAGAAAATGAAATCCTTTTGCAGGCTTTATGAGGAACTGCATGGCTGAACCTCAAGTTCTCTTAACAATATACATGAATTTAGCACTATGGACAAGGGCAAGGCTGGCCAGATCACACATACACATTTCGACCTTCAGCAGAACACACACACAGTAACAGAAAAGTTACCTACTTAACCTGTCCAGCGTTCCTCCTCAGCAAAACAATATTTCAGACTGTGAACATATGCCAACACATATGCCATTAGAGGATCTAACTTAGAAAACACATTGTCAAGCACAGAGATTACTTTGACTGCTAACTAATTATTTTTACTGTTGTATTTCTAAAAACTAGTGCTATTCAGCAATTCTACAAGGTCACCTGAGATACAAAACTAAGTTTAGTTTAGTAAATTACATTCCTGCTTTTCAAAGAACCACTTCATAAATATCACCTCTTTATATAAACAAAGCACTTGTACACAGACACACAAACTTTTATCAGTAAGAGATGTATTGCAACTTATTTCTTTTAAAAAACATATTCACCTGACAACACTTAAAAGTATACAAAAATTGTCTATCTAGCTAACTCTTAACTAGCTCCACAATATCCTGTAATACCACCGTGTCACTTACACAAGGTTTTAACTATGAAGGTAAAAGCATAATTAAGGCATCTACAACATACACTGGTGAACCCTTATTATGCTTTTTTTCCATTATGCCACTACTGCATTTGAGAGTTCCACTTTCTAAGTACTCATCCTAAGCTCTGCTGGGCTGCTGTCATTGGTAGATGAATAATCTGGGCACAAACATTCTGCAATTTCATACAGAGGCAAGGATACAAACCAGTGTCTAGAACCGCCTTCACAAGTGAAAGTGAATATGACACCAATTAAAGCACAACAAAAGAGGAGACTTAAGTGTTTAGATGAGGTATTTTTTCATGGCGTATGAAAAAAAGACTTGGAATCACAGATCCAAAAAGAGTGGAAGACAACAGCTGCTCTCCACAGTGGTTAGTCATACAATTAATTTACAGCTCCAAATAACATGCTAGGCCTGTCATCACTTTAGGATTAGTTAAGTACAGGTTCCACTACAATTGTAGAGCTTGCTCATCCTCACTTCTTCACACACTGTATATTGTATCCTCCCACCACCCTCACCCAGACCAGACTTTACCTGGAACTTCCACAGAACCCTTTCAAAATATTTCTGGAAATGCCATGAGTAACGAAGATCCACTCCATGAAAGTGGATCAAAGATTGTACAGAAAGATCAAACTCCAGTAAGATGGGGGACTTTGAGTGCCACCTATAAGTAAACATACCTAGAGAACCAACTATTGACAGGACAGAATTAAATCGAAGAAAAACTGAGCTAACAGAGACTTGAAAGCACTGTAATATTTAGTAGTCACAAAGCATCACCTCTGATCAAAGAAAGGAAGATGATATAAGAGACGCAAAATCATGAGACAAGATGTTTTACCGTAAGACACTTTACAAATTACATTGGTGGAATTCTTGAGAGATCCAAATACCTCTGTTGAGAAATTGGATCACCTACTAAATGGCTCTTTACTGCCAAAGATATAAAAAACTCTAGAGTTGAAAATTCAGGCTATGCCAGTACAAATTAGAAATATGACCTCCCTATGAAGAGACAATCAACCATGCCAGGTACTAAAGGTAACTTCCAAGAAGAGCTGAAGATAATTCAACTCCTCATGTCTGCACATTAGACTGCCTTTAATACAGAAGATATACTTAGTCAAGTTTCTCTGAAAGACAGACTTTTACCAAATGTAGGTTATTGCTCTCGGATAACTAACTGAATGTAACTAATACATTAATCAGGTTAGACTGTCTAAAGATCCCTTATGTTCTTGAAATCTGCTACCTCACTTTTGTCTGAATCCACAAAAATAAACTAGCCAATAAGTACAGATTTTTTGCAACCACCCACAGCCTGATCCAAAATAAGAAGGGAAATACTTCCTTCACTAAATCAGTAAGCTCTTTCACATCTTTAAGTGCTTCTAAGATAAAATATTTGGGTACTACTCCTTCCAATACTCAAATCAGAAGAGACAGGCTGAAACAGGTTTGTTTTTAAGTTAAAAATAAACAGTGTCATCAACAATGAAAAAAAGAATTTTGTGAGCAAGACCTCTTAGCATTTTCACTACTACTGCAAGAATTTTCTTTGCATTGATCCAATAAAACACCATTTAAGAATTTGAACTAGGACTGCAACCCTCAGAGATTCAAGCAAAAACTGTTATCTCATTGATTTTTTTAATTACAAGTTTCTCTGTGCTCATTTTGTCAGATGCTCCCAATATATGAACACTGACACAGAAGCATACTCCTGAGATTTGCCAAACTGAGCAAAAATTAACTTCATATGATTATTTAAAACAGTAACATTGCAGATTCATTTTTATCTTTTCATCAGCCACATAATGCATCGAACCTTTGATCTGTAAACTCTTGGTTGTCACCTCTTGGGTCTCCATCCAGGACAAGGGAAACTCATATCACAAACTCAGGACACTACAAGGCAGGAGAAGGGTGAGGAGGAAAAGGAAGAGGGAACCTTAAGACAAATAGCAAGAGTAAGAGCCTAAGCTTCTCCACAGCTACCTCAGAGTCCTGATAGAGTTAAGAATCCCTCTTAGCAGCAGCAAAGTGAATTCCCACCCACCACATGTAACAACCAACAACAAAGAAAAATTTCCCAACTGTTTTGATGGACATACCATTGTGAGCCAAGAAAACTGAGTAGCAAAGAATCAGTCTGTTCTGCTCTGTCAGCACTTGAGATAAACACCCACTGAGGAAGAGTGTCCTGAAACCTGAGCAGGATACACATACTTGTCCTGTAACACATGTACAGTCTCTGGGTACTTAAAGACCATCTTTACATATTTTACCAGTAACATCCTTTCACTGTACAGTTCTTTTCATCACTATTCCAAAGTATCCCAATAACCAGTCTACATTGAAATGGGAAATTCTTGAAGCATTTCTATGTATGGGCAATTTGGATGGGCAGAGTGATGCATTCACTCAGAAGTGTCTTTTAGCCGAAGGTGTAGTTGCTATTACGTATTTCTGGAGGGGGGGGAGTTAGGCACATGAGGGGGATAAGATGAAGAAAGAGCTAGAACAGCTTATAGAAAACATTAAGGA